GCGCTCTTAAGATAAGAAGCCTTAGACTGACTGGGGTCATAGGTGTGTCGGTCAACCGACAAATCTCCCCAATAATCAAGGTAATGAGAGAAAAATGGCTCCGAGTACTCGCACACACTGTGCATATACTCCTCACTCTGGGAGTAGGGAATATCAATAAACCCAAGAGCCAAATTAAACTCAATGATAGATTGGTTGAACTCTCTACCCATCAATCGAAACCTCACTACCCCAGGAGTGGTAACGGAGAATTCATCAGGAATATGAAATTCAAAAGTAGCATAGAATTCCCACGTGAGCTCAGTATAAGCAGGTAGATTGATAGAAGCATAGCGGGTCCAACCTACATTAGTCAAGTGCTGCGTGACCTCATCCCTCAGGTTTAGCATATCAAGTGTAGGGCCATGGATGTATTTACAAGAAATTATCTTCCTTGTGCAAGCCGAGGCATACCGCTCTTTGTCGGCAGCCCGGGTGAAGGTCAAATTGCTGCCAAAGTGGGCCGGAGAGGAGATATGAACCTCCCTATTCCGCCCAAGACGGGTACGGGGTCCTCCCGGCCCAGTCGAGGGGGCAGGTCCCCCTAAGGGGACCGTAGGCTGAGGGGTGGAAGTGGAAGCCTTGTTCTTGCCTTTGTTTTTGGGTTTAGTCATTTTAAAACGGAGGGTGGGGCAAAGGCAAGTGAATGGTATTTCAAAGAGGTCAATCAAACAGCTAGCAAAGTAAATGAGTCCCAGTCACAACTTTCAATCTCAGACAAGTGCAAAAACAGGCAATAAACTCACCCAAAAACTAATTAATCCTGTGAATCAGCAAAATACTTCCCAAACACTACCAAATCAATCCAAAATCACTTAATTAACTAAATGCAGCAAATTTTCCCCAAAATCACAGCACAAAATTTGACAATAAGTCAGCAATCACCCACAGGTATATCACAGCACCCAAAATCAAGAAAGTAAAAATTGACAATCTGGCCTCAGCTAAGTAAGTAAAAATCTGTCATCTGCTAAACAAAAATTGAGAATCTGGCCTAAGCTAAGTGACAGTAACTTAAAGAGAAATATCACCGGAGAGGTTTTGGCAACAACACAGGTACAGTGGAAGGGGCAGAGGTGATGCGCGTGGACCTCACGCGCGTGGCTGAAGCGCAAAAGTGCTCGGCTGCTGCTGCTGCTACTTGCTGAGCCCGACTGGTGAATGAGCTCGCGCACGGTCTGCTGAGGAGCTGCGCTTTGAAGCGCGCTTGGGCCCGCGCGAACTGGAAGGGGCTGAATGCTGCTGGACAGGCGCGCAGGTGCTTCTGCGCTGCTGGCCGCGCGCGTGGAATGTGGTCTTCGACTGCGGCTGCTGCTGGAGCTGGAGCTGGACGCCTGGGCTGCACGAGAGCTGGAGCTGCTCGGGCGGTGCGATGGGCAGAACTGGTTGCTGCGGGCGCGCGCAGGTGGAGCAGATCGGCAGGCGGCTGCGCGCTGGGGTTGCGCGCGCTAGCAGCAGTCGCGCGACTCAGGAGATTGCGGCCGAAGCTGGCCGCGAGCTGGTGGTGGGGGGAGTCGCGGCGTGCTGGTGAAGATGGCGGTCCTTGCGGCTCTTGATGGCGGCGGCGATGTGCACAGAAAGAGAAGGAAAAAGGAAAAGCAGGAAAGAGGGGAAGAAGGAAAAAAGAAAGAAACAGAGAAATAGTTTCCGTGGATCTTTTTTTTTTTTTTTTTTGAATTCAAATTCCGAAAATTGTAATTGCTAGAATACCGTCTCCCCCCCTTTTTTTTTATATAATAAATAAATTTTTTTTTGATTGCAATCTTAGGCGCGGGCACGCCTAACCGCTATGGAGTCCGCAGATCCTGAACAAAAATTTTCTCCCTCAGGCGTGACCATCTGGTGTGGGTACGCCTAACTGCTATGTAGTCCGCAGATCTGGAACGAAAATTTCTTTCCCTCAGGCGTGACCACCTGGCGTGGGCACGCCTAACTGCTATGCAGTCCGCAGATCCTGAACGAAAATTTCTTTCCCTCAGGCGTGACCATCTGGCGTGGGCACGTCTAACTGCTAATTTCCTGCCACCAAACATCAAACTATTAATTGACACTAACACTTAACTAAAACTTAAAAAATGCATGAAAACTGAAACAAATAATCTTGGGTTGCTTCCCAAATAGCGCCTTTTTTTAATGTGTTTGGCTAGACATGGCCAAAACTTTGCTTAAACTAAGCTAATTGAGTCCTCCAAGTGCATCACCTCCACCCGCTCAATTGGAAAACCTTCATAATATGGCTTGAGACGGTGACTATTCACTACAAATTTCTTCTCAGTTTTCAAACTTTGGATCTCCACTGCACCATAATGAAAGATATTAGTCACAACAAAAGGGCCAATCCAACGAGAACGTAATTTACCTGGAAATAACTTCAATTTGGAGTGGTACAGTAGAACTTTTTGCCCACACTCGAATGTCTTCCTAGAGATCTTTTGGTCATGAAAAATCTTATTTTTCTCCTTATAAATTACCGCATTCTTATAGGTTTCATTGCGAATCTCCTCCAACTCCTGCAAATCCAATTTTCGTCGGGCACCGGCCTCTTCTAGGTTCATATTACATTGCTTTATCGCCCAAAAATCCCTGTGCTCGAACTCCACTAGAAGATGGCAAGGCTTACCAAATACCAACCTATAGGGAGACATTCCTATAGGTGTCTTGTATGCCGTCCGATAGGCCCAGAGTGCATCTTCCAACCGTTGACTCCAATCTTTCCTATCGGGGTGCACCATTTTCTCCAAAATGGACTTTATCTCTCGATTCGACACCTCCGCTTGACCATTGGTCTGAGGGTGGTACGACGTTGAGACTCTGTGGAGTACACCATACTTGCGAAATAACGCAGTTACGGTTTTGTTGCAGAAGTGCGTTCCCCTATCACTGACAATAGCTCTTGGCATTCCAAATCGCACAAAAATATTAGACCTGATAAAATCTGCAACTACTTTCGAGTCATTAGTTCGAGTGGCCTTAGCTTCCACCCATTTAGACACATAATCAACTGCCAGCAAAATATATAGAAAACCAAATGAAGTAGGAAAAGGCCCCATGAAATCTATACCCCAGACATCAAAAATTTCTACAAAAATCATCGGGACCTGGGGCATATGATCTCTACGGGCTATATTACCTACCCTCTGACAACGATCACATGACTTACAAAACACATAAGCATCCTTAAATAATAAAGGCCAATAAAATCCACTTTCTAAAACCTTATGAGCAGTCCTCTTGGGTCCAAAATGACCTCCACAGGTAAAAGTATGACAAAAAACTAAAATCGATTGAAATTCCATTTCACTTACACATCTCCTCATCACCTGATCCGCACACCTCTTCCACAGGTACGGGTCATCCCAGATAAAATACTTGGCGTCGCTCTTCAACTTATTCCTTTTCGATTTTGGCCAACCTGCAGGAAAATTACCAGTTACCAAATAATTGACCAGGTCAGCATACCAAGGCAATTGTGAATTTAAAGAAAATAAATGCTCTTCAGGGAATGCATCCTTCAATGGCTCACTGTCCTCCTCAACTGGTATGCGACTCAAATGGTCTGCTACTAGATTTTCTGAGCCTTTTTTGTCTCTTATCTCCAGGTCAAATTCCAGTAGTAGCAATATCCACCTGATGAGTCTCGGTTTAGCATCCTTCTTGGTCATTAGGTACCTTAACACTGCATGATCAGAAAATACAATTACTTTCGCACCTAACAAATATGACCTGAATTTTTCTAAAGCAAAAATAACCGCCAGAAGCTCCTTCTCAGTGGTGGAATAATTCAACTGGGCCCTATTCAAAGCCCGAGATGCATAGTAGATGACATGAACCGCCTTTCCTAATCTTTGCCCCAGTACAGCCCCAACAGCATGATCACTGGCATCGCACATGATCTCAAATGGTAAATTCCAGTCAGGGGGCTGGATGATTGGAGGTGCGGTCAACAATTCCTTCTACTTGTCGAAGGTTCTCTCACACTTGTCATCAAACTCGAAGGCTACATCCTTTTGCAAGAGTTAGAACAATGGGGCCCCAATTTTTGAAAAGTCCCTGATGAACCTTCGATAAAAACCTGCATGTCCAAGGAAAGAACGCACCTCCCGCACATTCACGGGGTAAGGTAATGCAGAAATAACGTCTATTTTAGCCTTGTCAACCTCAATGCCCTTAGACGATACAATATGACCCAGGACTATCCCGTGCTCAACCATAAAATGACATTTTTCCCAATTAAGTACGAGATTAGTCTCTATACATCTTATCAGGATCAATTTCAGATTATCTAGACACGGACCAAAACTATCACCATACACACTGAAATCATCCATGAAAACTTCTATTATTTTCTCAACATACTCAGAAAAGATGCTTACCATACATTTCTGGAATGTTGCAGGTGCATTACACAACCCAAATGGCATTCGTCTATAGGCAAAGGTCCCAAACGGGCACGTGAAGGTTGTCTTCTCTTGATCCTCTGGGGCAATTGCTATCTGAAAGTATCCTGAAAATCCATCCAAAAAATAATAATAAGCCCTACAAGCTAAACGTTCAACCATTTGATCAATAAAAGGGAGATGAAAATGGTCCTTTTTAGTGACGGCGTTCAGCCTACGATAGTCAATATATTGCCTCCATCCAGTGGGTTTCCGCACTGGTACAAGTTCACCGGTTTGGTTAGCCTCTACCGTCACTCCTGCCTTCTTTGGGACTACCTGGACCGGGCTCACCCAGGGGCTATCTGATATTGCAAAAATGATCCCCACATCTAGCAATTTTAAAATCTCTTTCTTTACAACTTCCATCATGAGGGGGTTAAGCCTCCTTTGAGCCTGCCGAACAGGTTTAGCATCCTCTTCTAGTCTAATCCGGTGCATACAGATGGCCGGACTAATTCCCTTAATGTCTGCTATGGTCCAGCCGATCGCCTCTTTATACTCTCTAAGGACTCGGATCAGTTTCTACTCCTGGGTTTTTGACAGTGCCGATGAGATAATCACCGGGAGTGTCTCATGATCACCCAGATATGCATATTTCAGGTGCTCTGGCAGAGGTTTCAATTCCAGTACAGGTGCCTGCACCACAGATGGCAACACCCTCTGGTGAGGTTCGGGAGTAAAAATAGGTAAGATTTCATACCTTTTCGTGGTGGTCTGCAATGAGTGTAATACACCTATTGTACATTTTAGATCCTCACTCCACTCCACCTTAGGAGTTGTCTCTAACTCGAGGTGCTTGGTTAAAGCCACCTCCAACTCATCCCTGCCAACAGTTTCAAACACTTCCTGCACCGCAGGGTCAATAGCACTCACAGAAAAAACTGAGCTAAAGTTGGAGTTCGAGGGGTATTTCATAGTATCAAAGATATTAAAATGCACAATTTTTCCATCAAACTCATGGACAAGGTACCCTTATTAACATCAATTTTCGTTTGTGCTGTGCTCATAAAGGGTCTACCTAACAACAAAGGTGAGGGGTCGGGGGAGTGGTCATCATCCATATCAAATACATAAAAATCAGCGGGAAACACCAAATCATTAACTTTCACCAACACATCTTCAACTAACCCATCAGGATATGCATTAGTTCGGTTAGTTAATTGAATGATTATTCCAGTTTCCTTCAATAGATCTAATTTTAAAGAAGTATAGATGGATTTAGGCATGACATTAATTGATGCTCCCAGATCCAACATGGCCCTCCTGATCACAGTATTACCTATCCTACAGGGAATAGTGAACATACTTGGGTCCCCGCACTTTGGTGGAAGCTTTCTCTGCAGGACCGCTGACACATTCTCACCAACAATAATCCTTTCATCTCCCCTCAACCGCCTTCGGTTAACACACAAGTCCCTTAAGAATTTGGCATATTTTGGTACTTGCTTGATGGCGTCTAAGAGGGGGATATTTATCTCCACATTGCGAAAAACCTCCAAGATCTCCTTCTCTTTCTCCTGCTTCTTCGATTTTTCCAACCTACTAGGAAAAGGAGGCGGGTTAGTTTTAACTGTAATTATTGGGTCAGGAAGTACCTTTGGATCTGCACCATTGCTGGCCTCCCTCTCAAGCTCATTCTCGATCTTTTCCTCATCCTTATCCTTAGGAATCACAGGTTCAGGCCCTTGAATTTCTTTCCTGCTCCTTAGGGTCATTGCGCTCACATTTTTCGGATTTAATTCGGGCTGAGATGGCAATTTACCTTGGTTCTGGGAATCCAAACGGTTGATTGTTGTGGCCATTTGACTTATCTGATTCCTTATATCCTGCATTTCGGAGTCCGTCCTTTGCTGATATTGCATAATGGTTGCCTCCGTCCTTTGCTGATTTTGCGCCATGTTTGTCATCATTTGTTTCATCATCTCCTCCAAAGATGAACCACAGCTTGGGGGCGGAGGTGGTCGGGGTTGGTATTGCTGCTGGTACCCTGGTGGCTTATTTGGCACAAAGTTAGACTGCCTGTTTGGTGTAAAGTTGGGTTGCATATTCCCTCCATAACTGAGGTTGGGTGATCTCTCCACCCGGGGTTGTAGGTGCTTGAGTAAGGGTCGTACTGCTTCCTTGGCGCGGGCGCGTGGTCAGCCATGTTCACCTGTTCTGCAGTTTCTTCCTGAATCATTGGGCACATGTCTGCAGAATGACCCATACCAGTGCAAATCCCGCATACCCTGGTTTGTGATGCATTTTTCACAGCCAGCTGCCTAACAAACGCGGTCAACTCAGTTAGCTGCTGTTGCATAGAGGGTGTTTCTACCTCATTCACCTTACGTATTAGGACATCCTCTCTTGTACTGAATTGTTGTGAATTCTCTGCCATCCCCTCTATTAACTCCCGTGCTTCCTGAGAGATTTTGTTCACCAGTGCCCCTCCACTTGCAGCATCAATGATACTCCTGTCCCTAAAAAGGAGCCCCTCATAAACATACTGAATGAGCAACTGCTCACTTATCTGGTGCTGGGGACACTTGTGCAACAAGTTCTTGAATCGTTCCCAGTACTCATAGAGTGACTCCCCTGGATGCTGCTTGATCCCACAAATTTCTTTCCTTAGACTTGCAGCCCTGGACGCAGGAAAATATTTATCCAAAAAATTTTTCTTTAATTAGTCCCACGTGGTGATACTACCTGGTGACAGGTAGTACAGCCAGTCCTTCGCAGAATCTTTCAAGGAGAAGGGGAATGCCCTCATTTTTATCTGCTCTTCTGTGATTCCCGGGGGTTTCATACTATTGCACACGACATCAAACTCCTGCAAATGCTTATACGGTTCCTCACCTGGTAAGTCATGAAAAGAAGGTAAAAGATGAACTAGACCTGATTTCAATTCAAATGAAGTGTTATCATTTAATGTGGGGAAGGTAATGCATAGAGGCTGCTGATTTAAATTAGGGGCAGCCAACTCCCTCAACGTTCGTGCATTAGCCACGGTGTCTTCCTCCTGGTCAGAGTCACTCGAAGTGTTACCAAACGAATCTGTTGGTTCAACTTCTGACTCGGGTCTCTGAGATGTAGCACTGGAGTGCTCTTCTCTGAGTTGTCTGATTTTCTTTCTCGTTCTACGCGCGGTCTTCTCTATCTCAGGGTCAAAAACCAAATTACCTGTAGGAGAAGATCGAGGCATACACTAGAAGAAAACCAGAAAATTAGAACAAAAAAAATGAATTTAAAAAGAAACAAATAATAACGCCAGTCCCCGGCAACGGCGCCAAAAATTGACAGGTCGTCAGCCTGTGCAATAATAATAATAAATATAGAACCTAGCTACCACTAAAAGCAGTCAATAATTGATCCTAGGTACTGGAGCAAGGACTCTAGGTGTGCAATGGGTTACTTGATTCACCCTGTTCCCGAAGAGTTTGCTTAACCCGATATACCAGAATTAATTAGTTGACAAAAATTACTAAATAGTAGACAGTGACAAGTAGGGTCGTCTCCTCAGGGACTGGAGATACCTGTCTCTTTTAAAGTCCAATTGGTAAGGGGGGATTTCACCGGAATGAACTAACAATAATTAAACAAGTCAAATAAGAATGAGCAATTAACTAGCACAAATATAGCAAGAATTTAATCAGGAATAAATAAATTCTAGCCAAGGATGCAACTACTCAGGCACAGTCCATTTATCCGATCATTGATGCAAGTGAGGTTCACTTAATTTATTAATAGGCTAGTTATAGTCATCGATGAACTCTAATGACCAATTTTTCCTTAATTTATAGGTGACCAAGGTACGACCATTAATCACCCCTAACCAGAAAAGTACTCCTAGGTACGACCATAGGAATTAATTTTCCAATAGCATTAACAACCAGAAAAACCTAGCCCTAATCAATAACACGCTACGAGGGTTATTTAAATTAGATTGCACGTTCGCCTAATGTGTAAACACACCAATTGCCACTAATATTAATCAATCAAACAATTACGGATTTAATTGACTAAATTGGCATGAGATTAATAAATCACATTGAATATCGGGCCCTTGACATCCAATTAATAAAATAATCCCATGAAAATACAAGCAGGCAATGTGTAAATATTAACAAATTAAGGAACGCGTGAAAACTCATTAGATCTCACAGATTTTCGGGACTGCGCCGTCGAGTTGACCCTTGACTAGATGGAAGACTTAGCCAAGCCGGATAATTAAATCACCACACGAATTGATAAATTGCGAAGGCATTGTTTCTTACTAAAAAGTAAGGAATAAAGGATATTTTCCCCGTTGGGAAATATTGTCGAACACCTGGCGTGTATCAGAGGCCAGTCCAAGGAAGAAAAGAAACAAAAAACTGAACTAAAAAGCTAAAACTAAAAGCTGGCCGTCCGTCTTCTGTACGTTAGCTCCCTATTTAAAGCCAAAGGAAAGATATCCAGTGGTCCCCACCAATTGGCCACAAGCTGCCCCATTTCTTCTTAGTTTCCTTAGGCTTTGTACGTTGTCAGCTTTTGGCCAAATGACCAGTAGTCTTTATTCCATGGGCCCCCACCGAAATTGAGAAGATGAATTACCAATGCTAGGCCCTGCTGACTTGACCCTTAGTAATATGCTCTAGAAAGTCCCTCCATTTGGTAATATTTCTGCTTTACTCCTGAAATTGATTCCAAATACCAAATATGATTAAATACCAGCAATTAACACAATATTTGTCAGGGATAGAAAGGAAAATCATAATAAAATTACTAACAAGTTATACCCTATCAGGGAGATAGTTGTGGAATTGGTCTACTTCATAAACAAGTTAATCCTAAGGTTTCTTTCAAAATGATATAACTGGGCCTGTTTGGAAGCTTTATTTTTTACCAAATTTGTATAAAACTAGTTTTTTTAACAACTTTTGCTACAACAACCCCAAAAAACTTATCAAAGTTTTTAACCTACACACTTAAAATATCCAAAACACAAAAAAAAAAATTCCCTTCCCCTTTTCTTCTTCTTCCTCCCTCACCACCACCTCCATTGCCGGCTCCGTCACCAATTTCCGATTCCGGTGCTGGTCTTTTTTTTTTCCCCATTTTTTTCCCTCTCCCCCTCTTCCTCCCCTGCCATCATCCTCCATTGTCTTTTTTTTTCTCTCTTACGCCTGGCGCAGAGGGGGGTGGCACCTCTTCCTCCCCTGCCATCATCCTCCATTGTCTTTTTTTTTCTCTCTTACGCCTGGCGCAGAGGGGGGTGGCACAGAGAGGGGCGGGAGGGGGCAGAGGAGGAGGGAAGGGGCAGAGGGCTGCGGGGGAGAATGGGGAGAGAGGCGCGGGGGAGGGGAAGGGAGGGAGGCGGAAGCGGGGGGAGGCGCTGGGGGGGAAAGGGAGATGGGGGGGAGGGGGAGGGGCTGGAGAGAGGAAGGCGGGGGAGGGGGAAGGCTGCGGGGGGAGATGGGGGAAGAGGGGGGGAAGGGCGAAGAGGGGAAGGGAAGGCGGGGGGAGGGGAGGAGAGAGGGAAGGCGGAGGGGGAAGGGGCAGAGGGGGACGGCGGGAGGTGGAGTTGCAGCTGGGGGTGGTGGAGGTAATGGGGAAGAAGAAGAAGAAGAAAAAAAAGAGAGAAAAGAAAAGAAAAAGGAAAGAAAGAAAAAGAAAATGAAAAAGAAAAAGAAAAAGAAAGGGAAAGAAAAAAAAAAGAAAAAAAAAATTTTCACCTTACAAAAACTTTTACAAAATTTTTCACCTAACAAAAACTTCTACAAAATTTTTTCAAAAACTTCTACAGTGCACTACAGTAAAGTTTTAGACAAACTTCCAAAAAACTCAGGTTCCAAACAGGCTTTATGTACTTCATCTGGTTTCCAGACAAAAGCATCCAAAAAGCAAAGGGACTGGACTAGGTCGGATATCACCTTTCCAATATTCAGGATTCTGGTGGATGGCATTCTGTAGGGACCAGATGTAAAAAGTCTTGTAGAGGGGCTTCTCCATGTCATGTGAGATATTCTTCTGCAAACAGAAAATTAAAAAATGCAGTGGAATCACCATAGAATCAGTGAAACAGAGAATTGGTAACGTGGAAGTTCTTTATGAAGAAACAAACATGTTGAGAACAGATATTATAGAGGCTCATTCTTATTTGCCACCTATACAACCTTTGATCCAAATAGACAAGCTGTACTGTGTTATTGAGTGGATAGTTCCACAAATAGGCAACAATTTCATTGAATCCATAACATGCTTCATTGTAACATGTTGTGTGTGCTAGCCTTGACGAACTTCATTCTTTTTTCACTTTTGGCTTTACAAATTGTATCTCTACTCATGTATAGACAATTGTTTATTATAACTTCCTGAACTACTCTAGTATTTTCCAGAATTGGTTACATTAATATCCTTGATTCCTTTTCTGTGCAGATTGGAAACACAATGCAAATTCTTTTTCAGAAGTCGCAGCATTAGTTGGTTGATGACTATGGCTCTTACAGCTGTCAATGACTCATGACAGAAAAAGGATCCAGAAATTCGCATCAACAATCCGACAATGTTTTGCATCTCCATTTCTTTTCTTAATTTCTATATTAAGCTTCTCCAATTCTTCTTATAACAATCAGTTCATTCTTCTTATTTGTTGACAAAACCTTGCCCCAATTCTTTCACTTTGCTCTGGCCCTTCAGCAAGCTTTAGATATTATTCCCATGTGAAATTGTCGCTTAAAATTACAGAACCACACAAATCAAAATAACCAAATCTCTTGTTGGTGCACATGAATGTACTGTTGTGTCTTGCTGATCAACTGAGCTACGGTAATGGGTGAAATAGACAGTCGGCTATAGACCCTTCATAAGGATGAAGGATCCAATCGCGGTCTCAGCAGCCAGGGTCCAACCAAGGGAAAAAGTTGATTTTCTAGTACAA